ATAGAAGTAGCTTGAATGATTTTTGTATAACTGACATTGAGGTATTACAGGGATTAGGACAGTTTAAAATGAATAAATCTCTAAGGCCAGTCATACTTAAGGGAATGAGGGCTGTTATTCATAGACATTTAACTAGGATGTTTTAACTGTCACTAAGCATGAGAACAGTACCCACAGGCAGGAGAACTGCAAGTATGTCAGCAATTTACTTAAATCAGAACAGAACTGAAGGAGAAACAGTTAATCTTGTTGTCCGTCAATGTTACTAGTATGTTTATGGAAACAATAGCTGGAGTTTAGTTGGAGCTAAATTAATGGAATATTTAGATCTTAATTGTTATTTAACACTGTGGTGCTAAATACGTCAACAACATTGTTTTACTTGTATTTGAATACAAACTGTGGGCCACTTGTACCCTGAAATTTGAAAAAAAAAAGTGCAGCTTATATTTGGTTAAATACGGTACAGTCCTGCATTTTAGTTTTGGAAGATCAGATCAGAACAGTCCTCTCTAATCTATTCAGCAAGATGATATGATCAACATTATCAAAGGCATGACTGAGGTCCAGCAGGACATAAAAAACAGTTAGCAGTAAATCATTAGTACCCCTAACAATCTCTGCATTGCGTATCAGTCTGAGCCCAGAATTAAATGATTCATATGGCTTGTTTGCAGATAAGTGCAAATGAGCATTTAAGAAACAGCCCACATGGATTTTAGAAAAGGAAGGTCTTGTTTAACCTATTTACCAGAATTCTTCAAAGAAACAACAGCACAGTTGAAACATCTAAAAATTATGACATGACATTTCCAGAAAGCTTTTGATAAGGTCATTCATAAAAGGTTAATTCTGAAATTAAAAGCATTAGGAATCCAGGGTAATGCATGCACATAGATTAAAAATGGATTAGCGAACAAGAAACGATGCATCATCTTAAGGGGCACGAGCTCTAACAGTGGTGTGCCATTTTGTTCTGGATCTCTCTCAGCGATTTTTGATACAGTCGGCAAACTGTATACCAAAATAAGGGAAATGGAAAATACACAACCAGCAATGAGGGAGTTCAAAGAAGAACAAAAATAATTCTATTTAATCTCAGGGTATTATTATGCTGTATATAGTCAACTTAAAGGAACAAATCCTCTTCAGTTGAAAGCAAAGAAACCTGATATGTGCTATTTCAGAAGGACGCAGTGTAAACTAAAAGTATATACATTTAGGTTGAAGAATAAAAAGGAACCTCTTTACACAAAGAGTTGTGAGTGTCTGGAACAGTCCCAACTGTGACCTCCTTCACGAAGAGCTTAGATGAATGTTCTTCGCTAGTTTATAACCTTTCTCTAGTTCTTGTGTCCCATATGCCCTGGCATCACTGCCAGGCCTTTGCAGGCTCTTTATATCCTGTTTTTCTTAGTGTTAAAGGGTTTTAAATGTGATTTAAAACATTTGGATAGCTTTAAATGCTTTGGAATGATCTTAGTGTGTTGTCCCAGTTTGCAAGATTGTTACTTATCAACAAATAATAGTATGCCTCTGTTTTGTTATGGCACTTATGTAGCACTTGACAGTGTTTAGCACAGGGTTTGCATGACTGCTGAAGCTGCACTGGAAGTGACTGTCCTCTGCAGAGACAGAGCAGAGGCTTCTACACAGCCAAATCATCCTTAAACCCCTCTCTGTGCTGCAGCAGTCTGAGCCAATTACTGTGCAGGAATTCTCTGTTGCTGCACTGGGGCCCAGAGAGGCAGAGGATAAAGGCAGAGGAAGGATGATTCTAAATGTTTATGCTAAGAGCCACTGTGAGAGAGGGGAAGAAGATGGGGGAAGAGAAAGTGGATGTGTTTTACATATTCATGCCAAAGCAAAAGAGAAATACAAAGGAGAGAGAGAGAGGCTGAAGTAAATTGATATGGTGAAAGATTCTGGGCAGAAACAGGCTAGAGAAGTAACTTGGAGACAGGAAGGGATTTCTAATTGTTTACAGGGTTGACATCCTCTTATTCTGTCTCTCCCATCTCCTCTTCTCCTACTTTCACTCTGATCCCCCTGGTTACTTTACACTCTTGTCTCTAACTCCTGCTCCTTTCATTATCCCCCTCCTCTACCTTACTCTGATCCTTAACACCCCAGCTCTGCCCTCCATCGTCCAGGACAGTGCCAGGAGGTCCAGCAACGTCACCACCTCCCTCTTCACCTCTTACTCAAATAACAGTTCTACCCACAACATCTCACACACAGGCACATCAATTCACATCCAGACATTATGCTGTGCAAATGTAAACAGTATATATACATAATTTGAAAGAAAGGGGATTTCTGTACAGCATTGGGCATATCTAACTGCCAAGTGATGATTTGTTCTCCAGTGTCAGAGTTGACGCAAAGTGGCCTTTTGGTATCTGGTATCATGGTATCTCTCTTCTCTCCTTCCTTCTCTCTCAGGCAGGGAGGACCAGAAATACTTCAGAGCTGAGAATGAGGGGAGAGAGGAAACAGATTTTATTTTTAAACAGCATCTAAAGTTGGCCTAATTTCTGCTGCAGTGTCTCACACTGCATGGTAATCCTCTACTGTTACCAAACAGCTTCAAGAGCTGCTGCTCACAGAGGGAGACGGAGGCAGCGCATGACAAGCAGAGAGAGAGGGATGAGGTAGTGAGTAGGAAGGAGGCACTGTTATCAGCCTCAAACTCAAGAGAAATCACATCTACTGTACATTTAACCAGGGACAAATTCAACACACAAAGCAGACACACATTATTCTATAAACACCTTTTTGTTGTCCAGTTGTGTGTAAGAGTCTGTTTGTGTCTGTCTGAGAGTGTTTAGCTGTGGGTTAGAGTGTGTGAATGTTTCTGCTCCTCCTCTGTGAACTACAAGCCATTGATTTCTTATTAATGGAATTCCTGATGAGGAGTCCTCTCAGAAGGAGAATGAGAGCAGGAGGAGAGAAAGTGACAAGGGGACCGTTAGGACTGACAGGCAGCTGTAGTTCCCATCCGTTTGTAAGAGTTGAAGTGTGAGTGTTGGGCAGCAACATCAATGACAAACGTAAATAAACAGAAAGGTTCTGTGCATGTCTGTGTGTGCATGAGACTATGTGTGTCCATGGGTCTTTTTGCATATGTGCGTGCGTGTCTGCACACAGCCTGTGTAAACAGTGGCACTTTTATCACATATCTCTAAGTACCAGAGGCTGATAATCAGGCTAATCATCACAAAATATCATATTTAAATCTGCAGTAAAATTCAGGTGGACAGGTGTGAATCCAGCTGTTTTCCACACAACCTGCCATCTCTCTGCTTCATTCCCTCTTTCTTCACCCAGCCTGTCACTCCTGTGTTTTTTGCTTCCCTGTCCATCCTTTACCTTTCATCCTTCTACTCCACTCTTCACCTCTCTCCGCCTTCTTTTCCCCCTCTCACTCTCTCCGATCAGTTCTTCCAGGGCTCTCCTCCTCCCCATCGGTATTCTGGGATTGTGCGGTAGCTCTCTGGAGAACCCTGTCCGGAATGCTAACCACCAATCCCATCCGGAATTGCCTACATTGCTTCTCTCTCTGTATCCGTTGCTTCTTGCTCTCTCCCTCATTCCTCATGCACGGCCCTCTCCGCTCACCAATCACTCACGCTGTCACTCAGCTCACCTCTCTCCGCGCAGGACGGCAGTGTCTTCAGATTATCTGTGCGCTGATGCACTCGGCCCTCTTGCTCCTTGTTCATACTCCAGTTCCCAGTAACTGTCTCCTGCCCCCCTCTCCCCATCTCTGTCTTTGCGTCGTGAGCTTGTCCTGTATTTGTAGCTCTCATCCTTGTCTTTTTATTTCCACCTTCTCTGCTCCCTGCCACTTGTGTTTGAGCAGATGTTAACTGTGCACACCTTGGCTGTAATTATATGGTCCTGAGCCTACACAGCAAGTACAGTACATGACCTTGTCTTCCCAGAAACAAAGTAGACGTATCCAGGTCTCCCACACCTCTGAGTACGGTCTGGTCTTTTAGATGGGCGTTGGTGCCAGGATCTGCATGAAACCAAACTGTACCAGTTCAAGTATGTGTTTACGTAAACTCCTGTTTATGCTTGGTGTTGTATCCCTTGTATATGAGCCCTCCTTTCAAGCCTCTGTGTTGTCAAGGGTCTGTCCCTTTTCCACCAAGCTTTAATGATCTCCACTCCAAACACGAGGGCGGTGTGTGGGGGTGGAGAGAGTGGGCTAATTAGGGGATTAATTAGAAACCTATACCATGTGATGTTTTTGTAATATGCCTGTGCACCTGTCTATATAATTAACCCTTTAACTGCGACTCCCAGAAATGTTGGTAGAAAAAATTAACTGTAGGCTCACTGAGCAAACTGAGAAAATAAGGAATTCCTGTTCTCCTCCTGTGGTGACCGTGCCCCAGTCACCTGTCTGTGCAGACTGACCGAAGGGTGAAGGAGAGGGCTTTTCCCTCAGCTGTGCCAGGACTCAGCCAGATGAACACCAGTTTGTGTGAATTGTGTTGACTGTGCGTGATGTGTGTTAGTAACTTATGTGTTGTGTGTGTGTATGTTGTGTGTTGTGAAAGGTGTCCACTTCAGGATTTTTCTAACTTTACTGTGCTCTCAGGACAATAAAATCACAACAATTTCTGCAATTAAACAATAAAACAAGAATTTGTGCATCAGTATACGGTCCTGTTGCTGGAGAAGTGGTAAAATAGCACAGAAGCAGGGATTTGGTATCAGCGGCTACAAGTGATTCCTGAAGGGAGCTCTGCTGTTGTGGGCGTGGAGCAGCAGAAACTCCTGCGTGTTTGGGTGTGTGACCGCCGGAGCGCTTTCAAGGTCATTCTGACAGAAACAGGCGCCCTGTACTGTTCTCCGTCCATATCGCCTTCTCCTCGACACCTCTCGCTCTTTCTCTCCGTCCCCCCTTTCTTTCATATCGCCTCCTCCGAACCCCAACCTTTCTCGCTCTCCCGGCTCTGCACTGTCGCCCCCGTGCGCTCGCGTCTCCCTCTCGAGCCGAGGCGCGGGGAATCCGTGGCCAGCGCGCGCCAGCAGCGCGGGGTCTTTGTTGTGACAGAGTGACGGATGCGGCGTGGGCTTTGCGTGACTGCAACACTTCGAGAGTCGATCAGGGAGGCCAGCCTGGACCGCAGCCCGGACACTGCGCGGTGGGGAGTCCCCCCCGAAAGAGAGACGGCTAATCTCGATATAAAATAATCACATCAGGGTCTGATGTATCGACAGGAAACCCTTGCCTCACACGTACACCCTTGAAGTGCTTCGTTCGTCCTTGTCTTGCATTTGTGACCCCCCCTCCCCCCGCTCACTCTCTCTCCACCCCCCCTCAGCATCATAGCGGCGGAGCGCACGAGCGCCTGGCTCCCGTGCGGGTGCGCATTGAGCCGCGCGGTCCATGTGCTCTCGCGTGCTAGTTGATCCGGGCTGGCGCGTGGATGTGTCTGTGCTCGAAGGAGGACCTTACCGAACCCGAGTCCAAATACATGCAGCAACCTCTTCAATCCTCGTTTTCCTTCATGATCAGAACCATTTTTCTTTACGTTATCAGAAATGAAATAGAGCAAAGGAATTCGTGTTCACCTAAGCCTAACTGGCAGTGGGATTAAGCGCGCTGCAGCGCCCCGACACCTGCGGCAGGATGTAGCGGGACTCCGGCTGGGAGCAGGCGGAGGTAAGTGCTGCAGCCCGGGCGCCTTCCGCGGAGTTACCGTGTAGGACAGAAGGAAACTGGCTCGGGCTGTGAGACTCGAAGTTTGGGAAGTGTCCGTTCGTGTGATGCCAGAACTAGAGTGTTTATAGCCTACTAAATCAAGTTTATTATTAAACTGCAGTCAGAACTGTCGAAAGAATTGGTGTTCAGGCAGCAACAGCAGATTTTCTACTGTGACCATAAACCATAAAAATACGTCTTATCCACAAAAAAAATGTAAAAAAAAAAAGAATCAGTGTGTGCAAAATATTCCTGTGTGTTTATCTTACTAACACTATCCGGAATGTTTTAATTTCAGTATTTTAACAACATTTTGAATTCACTGAACAGAAGCGGGCACTTCGCGCGGCGGCGCGGGTGGGGGTCGGTGTTCTCAGCGCTTGTTCTAATGGAAGCAGCACAGTTTCTCTCCAGTCCCCCAGGAACCTCTTGAAAGCAATCTGCCGCTGTTACTGTATATCCCCGTCATTTTTTTCCAGGACAGGCTCTCGATTATATAAAAACGCATAAGCGAGCTGTGGCACCGACAGGCGAGCGCGTGGATTTGCCATCCCACTTCCTCAAGAGCAGGTCGTGGGTGTGCGGAGGGCGGAGGGATCCGCCAGGGCCGGTGCTGAAGGAGTAATCTTTGCCCTCGCTGTTGCATCTGCTTTGCTATGTGGATCACAAGCTGTGTTCTGAAACGCACTTGAGCCGCCCATGCTCCTGCCCCGCCGCTCACGGGCCAGCAGCAGTGTTGAGCGGAACTTCTCAGACCTGTCGGAGCTGTGCGCAACTCTTGCAGATGCTGTGATATTTCTTGGAAGAAGAACGGTGCATGTGTAAATGATATGACGGTCATTTTCTAACAACAACAACAACAATAATAATTACATTTTTTAATTTGATTTTTTTTTATTTGCAATGGAATGAAACATGTGGACAGTTTTAGTGGTGAGCGTGTTAATGCTCATGTGGTTGGGTTGTCTCCATAGCAAAGTTTTGTAACCAGAGAACACAACAGGTGCTTGAGATTTCCCTGTGCACTACTTCTCTAATGGGGAATAACAATATTATTGTTGGCTTCAGTGATTTGCTCCTGACTAGATGTAAGCACGTTGCAGTATCCTGAACCAAACACTAGCTCTAATCCTAACCTCAACTCCACCACTGACATTAACATTGCCTGTATACTGGGATGCAGACTGGTTTTGTGTGTCCCTTTCACACTTACTCACAGTTGATCTTCCATAGGAGCATGAAGACTAACAGCATAAATATGCCTCTTGGTTTGTGTTACAAGTTTCTTCAGCACTTGGTTGCTCAGTGTGGCAGACTGTGCTGTGATAAAACATTACAGAGTGATGCTATAGGCTGTTCTGGGGGTCTGACCACATGTAATCTTGTGGTTATGACAGTAGCTACATAATGCATCTGTCAGATGACTTGTTAAATGGTTTGAAACATGAATTCACCAGCTATACTGTTAATGAACTAAAGCTGACTGGAATCACATGTAGCTATGTTCTGACAGAGCAGTAGAGTGATCCAACAGGGCTGTTTAGGATTTGTGTTGTTTTAATACAGAGTCAAGTCAACAGAGTGTTGTCTGTGTTTATGAACACTAGACTGCTCCTTCAGAGTGCTGTGTGCAAGAATGTGAGAAACATTTTCTGGATAAGGGAAAGCTTGAAAATGTAACCACAGTTGGTAAAATGGTTGGTAAAAACATTTTTGGTGTAGTTCACTAGCGATAGGTGCTGTGGCTGGGCTCCTGTGTAGGGCATTGAGGAGTAAAGGGATGTAGTTCATCAGTGTCACCAGTGGGAGACGCTGTGGCTCCTGTGTTGACTCTCCTGACAGGTAGGCCCAAGAAACTGTGAGAAAGAACCTCCCTGTGTTTGGATTTGCAGTGTTGTGTGAGCTCTAGGTACTGGATCTTGATGGCCCTTGATGTTAGCCCAGGGTTATAGGCTTTCATTTATAAGAGGACATATGAAGTTCCAGTTTAGCTTTGCTGTCTCGCAGCACTAGGGCCTCAGGCTCAGTCCCGGACCTGGGGTGTTGTCTGCGTGGTGTTCATATGTTCTCTCCCTGTTCAGATGGGTGTCTTCCCACAGTACAGAGACATATTGGTAGGTTCGGTAGCTTCTCAGGTGTCTGTGTTTCTGTCTATGTGTGCCCTGTGATGTGATGGCATCCACGATGTGTCCTGTCTTGTGCCTGGTCCTTTCTGCGAGAGGCTCCGGCTCCCCCAGACCCTGAATTAGATAAAATGGTTAGAAAATGGAAGGATGCAAATATACTTCCATTGATCAAGAAGAAAAAATAAGAAAAAAAGAGTGAATATCAGCTGGAAACCGAAGGCATGATTCTTTGAATATGCAGATAAAATAGATGTTTAAAGGGTTACTTGGCATGAGACAAATGTGACTAATTGTGTTCTCTTTACTTGGGCATCTTTAGCAGGCTTGGGGAGCCATGACAAAATCTCTTTAGCATTTCCTGTTGAATTGTCATATTTTACTTTAAGTGCCTGTAAATTAAATTAATTTCATTTTTTTCTTTTTTGTCCATCTTTCATTTTTTCTATGAACTTTCACCCCAAGACAGTGGTGCTGTTGGCATTGATCCTGCCTGTGAGTCCTGACAGGAATCGATGGCGTGCCATTACTAATAATCACACAGAAGGTGTAGCTCAGACACAGAGACTCTCTCAGGCGGGTTCATTGATGGCAGGTGTAATAGTCAAGATTGAACGGCAGAGAGGGGTGTAAATTGTTTTGCAATTTCATGGAGTATAATTATTTTTGGATAAGATAGAAGCCTGAATGAATCTGTGTTTATCTATAGCAGTTCTTGTTTTAAGTATGTAAAGACAGGGCTCTTGAAGGAGCTTTCCTAATCTGCTCTATTAATGCCACCCACTGTCCAGCTTCATACAGTAAAAACAAAATTCTTTGAACTGACTTGTCGGCACATATCCCTCTGTCTGCTGATAACTTTGACCGCTTGGATAGATCAGAACTTCGACCCACTTGCTGTTCATAAATTCCAACACAGCCCTCTGTAGCCAAGCAGTCCTGAGGTTTGTGTGCACAAGAGGACCGAGTCAATCTGAAATGAGCCGGGTCACCCCCGTGCTTCATCAGGACCTGTATGTCACGATAACCTCATGTGAAGATACTTACATGGCAATGGGAAACAATTTCTCCCAAAGTGGTGATTCAATATGTGAATGATGCTGAGGTTCTTTTGAGTAATCCATGCCTGACAGGGATCAGTAAAGCATGTGCTTCTTTTAACAAAATATGAATTGTTTATGCTTATTGATCACACTGAAACTTGCGGTCAGTATTGCCAGAAAGCTCCAGTTCCCTGCAGCAGACAAATTTGTGCACTGCTTGCATATCATTGGGTCTGGTTGATCCACATTCTTTTCATAGGTGTTGTTATTATAGAATCACAGCTTAATTAATTCCTGCATTGTATTATTATTTTTGTGCTCTTATCATAAGTGATCCATATACAGTCCAAACAAAAGTCAAGGTGATAAATAAGCATTAACAAGATTGTTTTATCTGCAGTAGAGCTATGAGTGGACAAAAAGATAATTCATATTCTTACTCATAATCCACTGCTGTACAGTATGGTCATACAGCATTCTCTATACACACTATCGATACAGTGGAGGTTACCCTGTAGTCCCACTCTTTGCATGCTAGTTTTATGAATATCAGCCTATTACTTGAGCACGTATCTCAGGATGCCCTTTGAATTATACCAGATAACAGTTGTATTTGTGCCTGCTCTGTTTCATGCTTGGTGTTGTGTGGCATAATCATTTAATGCTGCAGGCGTTGTTCAGCACTGCGTCGAAGAAGTAAAGCAGGATACTCACTGCTGCTCTGCCCATGTAGGTGCCAGGAGGATGGGAACAGCAGGAAGGCACACAGCCAGAGGGGCTTGTCTTGCTCTCCACTGTGCTGGGACGCGGCTGTGTCGTAATGCAGAAGTGCTACACCAGCACAGCTCTGTAGCTTTGGCACACAGCTTGCTAGGGTGCTACGGCAAGCCAGAAAAATTACAGATGGATTGGACAGATGAGCACAGGCTTGGAGGGATAGATGGATTGATGATTGTAACTGCTTCAGGGGACGAAAGGGTAATTTTCTCTCCATCTCTCTCTCTCTTTGCTCTTTTTCCCTCTTGCTTCCACTATCTGTTTCTCTCTCTGTTGCTCTGCCAAGACTTGGCACTACTAACAGCCTGGAGCTGAGGTCCAGTGTGGCTGGAGCCCAACCTGCCACTCTGCACCAGATAAACCAAGTTTGTGAAATTGTGTGTAAATTTCTCAATTATGTTGGATAAAGAGAAAAACAAATACACAGCCCAACTAACATACAAATGTGCAGATTTAATACATCTGCAACACAATGTCAAGCATAAAACAGAGCACCCTTAAACACAGTAATAGCTGATGTGCTTTGGGCTTGTATTTTGTGCAGTGCCTGATGTATTCGCCCACATAATGCTGGTATCCAACCCTGTAGTAATTCTGTGGTCAAACCAGTCAGGTGTATTTATTTTTAGAATGTTTGTGAAATGGAGCCCGCAGTGTGTGTGCAGTGAGACTGTTAGCCAACATCAGTCCCCTTGTCTTTACAAAGCAGGGTTTCCTGTCCATAGTTCTTGTTAGTCCAGTGTCATTTGTTTCTTTGTTACAAATTAATAATCGTTGAAGTAAAAGCTAAAATGTTCAGATCGGTTCGTTTAGTGAAGGTTCTCTTGCAGAAGGCTGATTGAATGCTGGAGTCCAGACCAGGCCAGTCCAATGCTGGTCACAGAGGCTGGACTGTTGATTGATTATTTAAGTCTTTTTAAAATAGCAACATCTAAACAGCTGGGAAAAGTTTGTGAACTTGTTCAATTAAGCTGATAACGATCTGATTTAGATTATTAAATCTATTAATTCCTGAGTT